TGAAAAGCCTGCCAGATATTCTAGGTCTGTAGGCCAAAGACAGATGCAACAATGTTGCAGAGGGAATTTGGGTGATTGTCCAGGAGGACAGATGTTTCTGTTGTTAGGTTACATCCTGGGGTCTCTGATGGAGTTAAAGTCTAAATAGTTAGAGTTATAGTTTTCCTTAGTTATAGAAAGTAAATTAGCTATAAAACTTTGGAATCAATAAGATAAAATAGATAATGGAATCTTTTCTCTGAATTTGCTAAATATAAAATGGACTAAATATTGTAAATATAATTTTTACTTGATAACTGTTTTTGTTGTATGTAGTTTTACTATGTTAAAGTTAAAACTTCAGTTTTATTTAGACAAAAAAGGGAAATGTTGTAGAATATTAGTTTAAGATGTATTACACTTGTTTATGCTATGGAGTATTTATTTAATGATACAAAGATGTGTTTCACTCTTTTTTGTTGCATTTATTTAACTCAGTGAAGCTGTATTACTTTGCCTGCCTAAAACACCTGATTGGTCTAATAAAGAGCTGAACAGTCAATAGCTAAGCAGGAGAGGGATAGGCGGGGCTACCAGGCAGAGAGAATAGGGGGAGAAAGAAGAACAAAAGAGATCAAAAAGTGAGAAACGTAGGACAGGAGAATGCCAAGGGCCTGCCACCCAGCCACACAACCAGCCATGGAATAAGAAGGAAAGAAAGACATATAGAATATTGGAGATAAAAGCCCAGAGGAAAAAGGTAGATGGGATAATTTAAGAAAAGCTGGCTAGAACTTCATAAGCTAAGGCTAGGCATTCATAAGCAACAATAAGTCTCCATGTATCTATTTGGAAGCAGGGTGGAGGGCCCACATAGAGTTAAAAAAAACCTACATTTTACTACAGGTATGTATTATATTGTCAGATTTTAGCAGACACTGCTAAAAAGTCTTTCTTTCAAAGAGAAATAATGGTTCTCTTCTGAATATCACATGGCATTTCTTAGTTTTAGTACACAGCATAAACAGAACCAATATTCTTTTTTCCTCATGTGTTAAATAAGCACCTGTTTAGTAGATCTCACAGAACTACTATCAGAGTATCAAATGACAAACCATAATGAATAGTGCTTCCTCCCAGGCTTTTAGGAGCCATGCGCATATGAGGAAGACAGTGAGGTGGTGTGGGACAATGGTCTGTATTCTGTCAATTATATTTTAATAAAACATTGATTGGTCAGTAGCCAGGCAGGAAGTATAGGCAGGACAACCAGACAGAAAGTAGAGGTGGGTCAATGAGACTAGGAGAATTCTGATAAGGAGGAAGTCCTAATTGGCAGTCTTGACCCAGCCACAGAAGAAGCAAGATGTGACTACCTCACCAAATAAGGTACCGAGCCACGTGGCTAACATAGGCAAGAATAATGGGCTAATATAAGTTATAAGAGTTAATAAGAAGTCTAAGCTACTAAGCCAATCTGTTTATAACTAATGTAGACCTCTTGTGACTTTGGAACTTAACAACTGTGGGAATTAGGCAGGACAGAAACCTCAGACAAAAGTGAGAAAACAGTCTTCAACAGGGTGTTGGCACTTAATATTATTTCTAGAGATATCAGTCCTATATAGTTGGTAGCTGTATAAATACTATTTTATTGACTTATTTCTCTTCATATTAGCCACCTTTTACACATAAGACAACTTGGAAAGAATAAATCTGTCACAGCTTATTATTTTAGGTAATTGGATATTTTTAACATTTTATTTGTTGGTAGTACTGTACAGATCGAATTATCTAATTCCTGTTAACACTTACTCACAAGGCTATCCTAAAAAAGTATCTATAAGCCGGGCGGTGGTGGCGCACGCCTTTAATCCCAGCACTTGGGAGGCAGAGGTGGGCGGATCTCTGTGAGTTCGAGGCCAGCTTGGTCTACAAGAGCTAGTTCCAGGACAGGCTCCAAAACCACAGTGAAACCCTGTCTCGAAAAACTAAAAAAAAAAAAAAAAGTATCTATAACAGTAGTTAAAATTAATACAACTGACAGCACTGGTAAGGAACTGGAGCAGATGCAATTTCATCCTTTCTATATGAAGATGTAAAATTGTACAAATAATTTGGCAAAACATTGTTTACTAAAACTAAACATTTGTGGACTCTGACATATCTGTACTATCCTGTGATTCTTAACACTGATTACCAACTTGATAGACTCTAGAACCACCTAAGAGATAAACCTCTGGGAAAGTCTCTGAGGGGGTTTCTGGAGAGGTGTAACTGAGTATGGAGTCCCCACCTTGAATGTGGGTGGCACCAATTCATGGGCCAGAGCCCTGGATTAAATACAAAAGAAAAAGTGCACTGAACACCAGCATTCATATCTCTCTATTCCCCGACTGTGGCTTGTAATCTTTACCTCGCTCTCTAACTATGAACCAGAATAAACCTTTCCTTCCCTGAATTGCTTTTTTAGGCATTTTGTCAGAGCAATGAGAAAAGTAACTATTACACATCCCTATGTATTCATTTAATTGAAATGAAAATATATATTCACAAAAGTATTTATGGAAAATTTTATAGCAATTTCAATCATAATGAAATCAAACTAGAAACAATGTAGACATAATTTTTATATATTATTTATATCTTATTATTTAAACCAACCAACCAAACAGTGGCTTCCTTTGGGGGTATATATGCAGGGTTTGACTGGACAATAGAAAAGTACTTCCTCTATTAAGGATAATATTTTATATATTGATATAGATTCATGACACAGAAGTATATTCATATTCATTTCTCAAACCTCCATAAGTTTATATTTAACATTTTAAAACATCACTATATGTATATTTCACTTGAAAATAGACAGGTATAGAACCATATTGAACTCTATTTTATATAAATGTTGAAGTATTTTAGTGGGAGATATATTCATATCTGTAGTTTACCTTAAAATGGTTCAAAAAACATGGTCAACTGGTGGGTGGATAGATGGTGTTTTAGTTAGGGTTTCTTTTGCTGTGGTGAAACACCATGACCAAAACAACTTGGGGAGGAAAGATTTTACTTAGCTTACACTTCCACATTATAGCTCATCAACAAAGGAAGTCAGGGCAGAAATTCAACAGGGCAGGAACCTGGGTGCAGGAGCTGAAGCTAGAGGCCTTAGAAGAGTGCTTGCTACTGGCTTGCTCCTCATGGCTTGCTCAGCCTGCTTTCTTATAGATACCAGGACTACCAGCTCAGGGGTGGCAACACCCACAATGGGCTGGATCCTCTCACATCAATAATTAGTTAAGAAAATGCCCTACAGCAGGATCTTACGGAGGTATTTTCTCAACTGAGGTTCCCTCCTCCTGGATGACTTCTAACTTGTGTCAAGTTGACATCAAAATGAACCACAATAGATGGATAGAGAAATAGAAGGTTCTATGATAAAACAAACATAGTAATATCTTAATGGTAGGATGTAGGTGACAGGCTAAGGTTTTCCGACTCTAAATGATTTTAGTCTTTCAATTTGTTAAGGTCTTCATAACAAAATGTTGGACATACTTATTTTATGTAGTAGGTATACAAGAGATGACTGAGGGATTATTTCTAGGAAGAACTTATCCAAGAAAAGTGGCTTACTATTGACATAATTTCTTCTTCCTTCCAGGTTAAAGAATAGAGATGGCAACTTATTTTTAACAATGTGTATGACTGGTATTATTATTGAAACCCAAAGACTCATGACGAACGGGTTAGGTGATTTGGTCAAAGCTGCAAAGCATTGAATGATAGGATTTTACCTTTCCTGTACTACATTGTTACCTTTTGCAGTTTTTATCAAGCTGCCTCTGTAGTCCATATCTCCTTCCTTATTTTTAATTACCCTTTGGTATAATACATATTTGCTTTATAAAAATAAAACAGGTTATTCTATTAGAATGGGAATTATATGACAGCCATGAATTTTCTCACAGTTATAGCTCTGGTGTCAAAAATAGTGCCTGTGTCTTTGGAGATACTCAAGAAATGTTTGTGGATGAACAATGCCCTGTAGATGTTAGCTTAAATGAATTAAAATAACATAAAAATTTTTGGCTACAACATGGAAAACAACTTAAAATCTAAAGAAACATGACATATCTTGGGCTGAATTTGTATAGAAACTTGAGTTGTATGAATTGAAACTACAACAGTAAGAAGGGGAAAGAACATGCAAAATTGTGTAAGTTATAAGAATAATGGGTTTTTTGAAAGATACTAAGTGGATGTAGGACTTTTCACAAGAGAATGATAACAGTAAGTAAGATTTGTATTTCAAAAATTACTTTAGGGACTGTAAGATGGCTCAGCAGGTAAAGGCAATTGCTGTACAAATATACAAACATATACATATTATACAATATATTTTAGATGCATTATATTTATACATTATATAATATATTTACACACACAAGGTCTGAGTTTGATTTACTGATCCAATTCTGAGAGAATCAAGCCCTGAAAAAAGTTCCTGTGACTTTCACACATGTGCAATGGTATATATACCCTTGCATGTTCTCACACATAAATATACATACACAATAATAAATAAAATTGTAAAATATTTCTCTAGCTACAGCACATAAAACGGATAGAAGGTGGGTAAGGGTGAAATCAATGGCACTGTGTAAAGGTGATGGTGCTCTCACACAAAAAGTAGATAGGAAGTACTGGGTACTTTGTGGAAAAATTTTTAGGTAACCTGGTTAGATTGGTTGCATAGTGTGAGGGAGATGGACTTGTTAAAGGTGGCTTTTAGTTTTTTCTTTGGGCGATTTCGTCGATATATCATCCAATGAAACATGAGCGAATATGTAGAGAGGTGAGCTTAAGGTGCGTGGAGCCTCTGAACTAGATTTTGAATATGATGCACTGTATGTTCTACAAGAAAGTCAAATGATAATTCCAAGAGATAGGTGGATACATTAGTTAAACTTACTATATAATAAATATATCACATGGAAGAACAGTTGTTTGGTACTCACCTGATCAAATAGAGCTCTTTATTCCATGGGTAGATATTTAAGACTGGCCCAATCCCAATCATGTGGTTGTGACATTCTCCAACATTTTCAATGTATTCATGCTGCAATGGCACTTTGCTGAGGAGCTCAAATTCCTCAGGTGCTTTTTGAAGCACTTGTTGTGCTGCATAGAATCCATCCACTAACAGTGTCCTGCCACCTGTTCCTTCATGCTTAAGACAATGAAAAACTTGAATGCTAAAGAAAGCAAAACAAATTCTTTTGTTCAGTGGATAAAATAAAATATATTAAAATTATAGTATATTATGTCTGAAATGATTACTAAACCTAATTTGGTGATTTTAATGAAGAAAAAAATCCATTTACTAATTGTTTCTCCCTCATAGAAAGTTGTACTGTTTTTACTCTTAAATAATATTGAAAGTGAAACATGCCCCTGGCAATGCTGAAGCAGGCATGGGCAGCCTGTTTATATTGGGTTTCATGGTCTGAGTTGATGAGGATGACTGACCAGGTCTCTTCTTCAAGGCACAGGTTCCACTGAGATATGAACTCAGATCACTGATTCAAAGTCTAGAGCATTAACCATTATTACACATTTATTTCAAAGATGTATAATATGTTATATATACACACATATATATGCCAGGGAAGACATGGGAATATAGACATAAACAAAATATGGCCTCTGTTTTGAAGAATCTTATAATCTAGTAAGAAGAGATGAAACAACTACAAATAACATTTGAATAAAAAAGTTTTACACAAGATGTAACAATCTCCATAAGAAAGAAATATATTTACTTTAGTAAGGTGTTGTATAAAGAAATGTTTTTGAGTGACGAAAGGAATAGCTTTGCCTAGTCTTAAATAATGAACAGGAATTGAACTGTTGTGTGAGAAGACCTTCTGTGTATGTGTTGCTTTTATTGAAGGAATAAAGATGTTTCGGCCAGTGGCTTAGCAGAATAGGGCAAAGGACGAATTCCAAGCAGATAGAAGAGAAAAAAAGGTGGACTCAGGGAGAAGTCATGTAGCCACTGTAGGAGATAGTCATCCCTGTGGGAACTGTGGTGGTAAGGCGACTTTGTGGTGATGCACAGATTAATGGAGATGGGGTAGTTTAGAATATAAGAGCCAGCTAGAAATATGCTTAAGCTATTGGTCAGACAGTATTACAAATAATATAGTTTTTGTGTGATTACTTTGGGTCTGGACAGCTGGGAATGAATGAACAACCTCCATCAACAGAACTGAAATGATACTGAATCATAGAGAAAGGACCCTAGGAAGAGGCAAACCATAACCAAATATGGTGCTGTAAATCCACAAGGCATATTCAAGGAAAACAGTATGAAGTACCTGTTGTCATAGCATAGACAACCACAGAATTCTCTTAAATTGTTAAATATTGGCATTTTTTAAAAGTTTAGTGTGCACCCCTCGTGGTCCTGAATTCCGTGCAGGTGGGTGGTCCTTGGACTTCCCACATGTCAGGGAACCTTGATTGCTCTTTGGGCTGAAGAGGGAGGGGGACTTGATTGGGGGAGGGGGAGGGAAATGGGAAGCGGTGGCGGGGAAGAGACAGAAATCTTTAATAAATAAATAAATTAATAAAAAAGATAAAATCTAAAAAAAAAGAAAAACAAACAAACAAACAAAAAAGTTTAGTGTGGCTGGCAAGATTGCTCATCAGGTAAAATGTACTTGCCTCTGAGCTTGATGACCTGAGTTTGATCCTTAGAAACCATGAACTATGTGGTGGTTTGAAAGAAAATGGCCCCTAAAGGGAGTGGTACTATTAGAAAGTGTGGCCTTGTTGGAGGAAGTGTGTCACTATGCGTGTGGGCTTTGAGTTGTCTTTTGCTCAAACTTCCCTCAGTGTGACTTTCAGTTGACTTCCTGTTCCCTTCTGGTCAAGATGTAGCATTCTGAGCTCCAGCACCATGTCTGCCTGCATGCCTCCGTGCTTGTCACCATGATGATAATGGAGTGAACTTCTGAAACTGTAAGCAAGCCACCCCAATTAAAGGTTTTCTTCATAACAGTTTCTGTGGTCATGGAGTCTCTTCACAGCAATAGCAACCCTAATTAAGATATAGTACAAGGAGATAAGTGACTCCCACAGGTTATCTTTTCACATACCTTTGTGTGCATTGGCACGCAAACACAAATACCCCCATCACACAAAGAAGTAAAACTAAAAAAAGATTTTGTTTTAAGGTGTAGCTCAGTTGGTAGAATACCTACCTACTATACACAAAGCCCAGGGATTAATCCCCAGCATCAGTAAGATTCATGTGTGGTGACATATGCTTGTAATTCCAGAATTTAAGAGGGGCATTCTTATCAGCTACATGGTGAATTTGAGGCCAATCTGGGACACATAGAACCCTGTCTAAACAAAACAAAACAAAATAACCACCAACCAAACCCCACCTTTCCTTAATGAAATCTCAATTTTGTTATTTTGCTTTATAGACAAAAATAATTTAAAACATTGATTTGTCAATAGTACTAAAATCTGTTGGGAATAAAGGTGATAAAAATAACTTAGAAAACCATGTACAGTTTGAAGTATAGAGAGGAATTGAGATCAGCTCTAAGTTTCTAACTTGGAAAACCTTAAAGATGATAGTGCTCTTTGGAATACAGATAGACACGTGATAAGATGATAATGAAGGTTTGAATGTATATCTGAATATGTTAACAGAAAAAAGTTCTAGAAAGTGACTATTGATTGTCTGAAATATTCAAGTAGAATTTTGAAATTCATGAGGAGAAATAAAGTTAAAAGTATTTATATCCTGCTATTACTCTCTTTAGTGTCCATCACTCCATGTCCCTCTCTCTACTTCTCTGGTTTCTGTGGTTACTCCAGATATTATATAGTCATAGCTGAAGATCTGGAGAGAAGAGCCACAGATATGAGAAAACATATGGTGTCTATCTTTCTGGGTCTTGGTCACCCCACTCAATATAATATTTCTTAATACTATCCATTTACCTACACATTTCATGAATTCATTTTTCTATACAGTTGAATAGTATTCTACGGTGTACATGTACCACATTTTCATTACCTATTCTTTAGTCGAAGGACATTTATGCTGTTTCTACTTTCTAACTATTGTGAATAGAGCAGCAATGAACATGACTGAGTAATTATTTGTGGAGTAGGAGGTTGAGTCCTTTGGACATATACCAAGGAGGAGTACAACTAGATCCTATGATAGATTTACATTTAGCTTTTACAGGATTCTCCACACTGATTCCAGAAGGGTTGGATCAGTTTGCAATTTCACCAAGAGTGAATGAGGGTTCTTTTCCCCCAGCATTTGTTGTGTTTTTTTTTTTTAAATTTTGTTTTGTTGACCTTGGCTATTCAGATTGGAGTAAGATAAAATCTCAAAGATTTTTTTTTTTAAATATCACATTTCCTCTGGTTAGTTTTATGCCAACTTGACACAACCTACAGTGGTTTGAGAAGAACAAATCTGAATTGAAAAAACTTCCATAAGATTAGTCTGTAGGCAAACCTGTGGGGCATTTTATTGATTAAGGACTGATGCGGGAGGATTCAGACGACTGTGGATGGTGCTACTCCAGGGTAAATGGTCCTAGAGTGTATAAGAAAATAAACTGAGAAAGCCAGGAGGAGCAAGCCAGTAAGTAGCATTCATCTATGGCCTTCTCATCAGTTCCTGCTTCCAGGTTCTTGTATTGTATTGAGTTCCTGCTCTAATTTTCCTCGATAGTGAACTATAAGCTGTACGATCATATAAACTCTTTCATCCTCAAGTTACTTTTGGTCATGGTGTTTTATAAGAACATTAGACGCCTTAAGACAGAGTACAAACAGTTTTTGAAATATTACTTAGTCACTTTTATTTCTTCTTTTGGAAAATCTCTGTTCAGACCCATTGTCCTACCCCTTTTAAAACTTGAGTTCTTTGTTTTATTGACTGTTTTCTGAATTATTTACATATTCTAGATATTAATCATCTGAATAGCTGGTAAAATTTTGCATTTCTTTTTCACTTGATTTTTCTCTAGCTGTGCAGAAGCTTTTTAGTTTTATGAGTTCCCACTTGTCAATTGTTGACCTTAATTTCTGGGCAAATGGAGTCCTATTCAGAATTTCCTTTTCTACACCTATATCTCATAGAGTACTGCCTATGTTTTCTTCTAGAGGTTTCAGGTTTCACATTAAGGTTTTTGATCCATTTAGAATTTGTTTTTTCTTGTTGTTTTCAGCAAGATAGTAGATATTTATCTAGGAGAATAGAAAGGTGCAAGTGATTTGAAGGGGGAAATGGGGGTAAAATGGAAGGGAGGTTTAATTGTGGAGTGGGGAAGGGGATCAATACAGAAAGAGAGGGTAAAATAACAAGGATGTCTAAAACATTCATTGATTATCTAATACCAAATGGTCAGTCCTGAAAACATACATATAAGTAACATTAACAGACTCAGAAACTTGTATTTAGGAACATACATGAATATCCACATATGCATGCTACAACAACTAATGAAAAAGAGGCCATGAATTTGAAAGAAGGCATAAAGGGGTATATGGGTGGGGGTTAGAGGGAGGAAAGGGTAGGGAGAAATAATATAAAAAAATTAAAGGCCATAAGGAACAACACTTCTATTTATTCACCTATAGCAATTTGTTTATTCACATATAGCTATAAACACACACACACGTTATCTCATTTGGGATAACAATATTCCTCCCAAGAGATACTGTATAGCACAAATAATAAAAACCCAGAGACAGATATTGGGGTTTAACCTGAAGGTCAGACAAGCAAAACTGCCAGCCACTGGCTCTTACCTCTACCTCAGTCTGAAATGGTGATCCTGCCTCTGGTAATCTCAGAATGAGACTGTGTCAGAGAGCTGTCTCCTCTCATTTTATAATCCTCTCTAGTTCTGGGATTAAAGGCATGCATGCATCACTACCACCTGTTTTTTATGGCAAACTAGTGTGGCTATGGGGATTAAAGTTATGTATCACCACTGCCTGGTCTATAAGGCTGACCAGTGATTTTCAGGTAACTCCTGATCTTCAGGCAAGCTTTATTTATTAAAATACAAATTAAATATCACTACAATACTGACTAACAAAAATCCCACTATCAGGCATAAGAAACTCCCTTTGGGGCTATTCATCAGGGGAGTTTAAGAGACTCTCAATGCAATATAGGCTATTACTATTGCCCTTGGTTGCC